AGGAGGGTTCTAGTTTCCACCCTGGGTTTCAGCTGTCTCTGGTGCCTTAGATCTCGGCAATCATTCCAAACCTATCTTTCTGTGACTATGATGAAGTTCTGACATAGTCTGGTGGCTCAACTGTCCTGAACAAATTAGAATTAGAAGAAATCCACTTTGTTTTTCAGACTTTGCTTATATAAGAGGCTATAGAAAATGTGTCTCGATTATTTTGGCTTTTGAAGTGCAAAATGCCCAGATTCCCAGTAAAAACTAATCTCCCTGTATTGTCCCTTTCAGACCCAGATAAAAAGTTCAGAGAGACATTTCTTCCTAGAAAATGACAAGTATGCTGCCAGCTTCCTTTAGATGCAGTAAGAACAATGCTTTTAATTCTGCCTCCTGACTCTACATGAAGATCATCAAATAAGCAGATGGAACAAGAAAATGAAATTTTAGGTATTATGGAAATGAAATACTCAAATGACACAAATGACAATGGGCAATTTTCACATCACTCAATAAACTGAGGCTCTATTCAGCCCTTATTTGTGCCATGAGTTATTTTGAGTTTAACTTTTAAAAAAAGAATGTCAAGGAATGAAATTCTCACCCTTGGTTTTACAGGAGAGAATCTGCCTAACCAAAAAAATTCCAAGGAAAGAAACTAGCTACTTTGATGGGAAAGGGGCTGCAAGTCCTTAGGGATTCCCTACTGAGGAGTGAGAACATTGTTTGCTTTTGCCCCCAACGAAATAAACTCTTCTAGAAGTAGTGCAACAGCATTTGGGATGATGCAGCCTCCTTTTACAAGAAATAACTTTCTTTTTAATATATTCCCTTGGGCACTGGGAAGGAAAATCTTTTTGCCTCTTAACTGCTGATTCAGTGACCTGAGAATTGGGTCAGAATGAAAAAATAATCTACAACTCTGCTTTTAGTTTGCTTAAGAGAAAAAGTGGGTTTAAAAATTACATATTTTGTTGTTGTTGTTTTTTTTTAAAGGAGACATACACCTGAATCACAGATAAATGGAATGCTGGCAAATATACTTTAATTTATGACTGTAGTTATTTTTTTATGTTAGTTGTAATTTCAATAGATATATGTAATTGACAATGTCCAATAACTTCTTTTTTTCAAACATTTCTTGTGCTTTAAAAAAATTTTTTTGGGGGGGGTCTATTCTTGGGCTTTTATTATCTCCACTCTTCTTGGCTATGGAGAACCATAATCTAATGTTTTCTGGAATGTCACTCTTTCAAGAAAAATGCAATATTTCAAATGATTCATTTAAAGTAACATTTAAATATACAATTTTGCATGTGACTTACTAATATATTGATGACCTGATTCTCAGTGTTTGGATGATATTTTTTCTGCCTTTTTAAGCAGTGAAGAACTTTACTCTTAGGAAAGATGGGGCTTTCCTAGTCAAACTTCTCCTAGTTCTTGTTTATCCCCTGTAAATGTAAATATATCACAATAGGGAAAATTTCTCCCTTCTCAATTCCTGAATTTATAGCTGCAACTGCAATTCAATTTCATTGTCTTTGGATGGGAAACGATACTTAAGAAATTGGGCTTCTCTGAGTGCGTTAATGACGGAATATGTGTTTTCAAGGTGAGCTACAGCACAGATTTCAAGACTGTTGTCTCTCTTGGAAATACTAAATAAGCAGTTTCAAGGATGAATAAATAACATAGAAGACATGTCTACTTGAAGGTTGTTTCTTGCCCTTTCTTGAACTTTGCTTAGACAGAGCAGCCCCAAGTTTTGCATACAGAGAGTTGGAGAAAAGATTTAATAAGATCTCACTGAAAAACAATGACTATTTTCAAACAGAAAACGTACTAAAACCAAATGACCTAGTTTTGGGGGGGGGAGCAAGTGTATGCTTCACAATTTACAAACATGAATTAATTTTTGTTGTTGTAGTCATTTGTGCTTAGTCTACACTATTTATATATATTTGGTAAAGGGCATGAATTTCCAAATTTTGTTTTATGGAAGAAACAGACTTTTGGAAATGTGAAAGAGGGCACATTGTGTTCACACATTATGATGTTCCCTGTTTCCCACTGTCAGTGGCTTGTTATTGGTGGCTTATTCTCATTTTGTCTAACCTCAGAGGAGAGGAGGCTTCTTTTTCACCCAGACTTTTTGCTCCTGTGTTCTCCGTTAAGAAACCCCACAAACACTTGGAAATAGGTAAAAAAAGGACTGAACCCCACATGTTTGGTGCAATACATAGGAAGCTGTTTCCATATGAGGCTTAGTCTATTCCTAGGCATTGTGAAGAAGACGTCATAAATAGCCATCTTCCCCCAATTCTATGAATGTAGTTCAGCTTGAAGACTAAAATTCGAGTTTTGGGCGATCGACAACACTTGATTGATTGGATTAAATTCTGCCTTTCAAGATTTTACAATTTTTCCCTAGGAAGTTTATTCTTGCATAGCTAAAAATAACAAGTCTGTTAGGTTAACAATATATTGATTGGCAGAACCAGGTGCTAGTCATGTCATAAAGATAAACTTTCCATTTTTCAAACTTATGTCATTTTGAGATTGCCTAATGTGTGCAAAGGAGCCACCCTCACTCCTCCATATCAGAAGAAAGCTTCCTGTTAATTTCTCTGGCTCTCCTATGCTCACACATTCTCCCAGGAGATGAGCTGTTGAACTGGGTCCCTAAACATCTGCTTATAGGCTTTATTATAGGTTTCTAGGCAAGAGAGAAGCTGCAAGGCAGAGCTGGGCTGACTTGTTGGCTAGGAGGCAGCCTATGCATGGTAACTGGCAGAGCAGATAGACATGTGTGCCCCTAAAGTAGCCTATGAAAGTGAAAACATCCACTGTTAAGAGACATGAATAGACTAATAAATGGACCAGGGAAGCCAAGTGCAGAGACCTAGGAAGTCAGTTATAGGGCAAGAGTTAGCAGCAACTGTGTGAGCGATCATTTGCAATACTGTGCCTTCGGGAATTTTTAAAAGTTTTCTGCTTCGGGGCATCTTGGTGGATCAGTCAATTGAGCATCTGACTCTTGATTTAGGTTCAGGTCATCATCTCACAGTTCATGGGATCAAGCCCTGTGTTTGGCTCTGTGCTGACAGCATGGAGCCTGCTTGGGATTCTCTCCCTCTCTTTCTGTCCCTTCCATGCTCATGTGTGCATGTGTGCTCTCTCTCCACCCCCCACCCCCCACTCTTGAAATGAAGAAAATAAAGCTTTTTATTTTTCTCGTTGATGGATAAGGTTAAATGGCTTCTGTAATTCAATAGTGAATTCAGAAAAATCCTGAATTTAGACTATTTCAGGAAGATAATAGGTTTAGTATGATTTCACAATGGATGAGAAGCCCCCTTCACCCTAGGAGCCAGAGAGAGGGATGGTGGAATGATACAGGGGTATGAAACCCTCACAAGAGAGATGGGACAGAGGTTACTCAAGAATTTACAATACTTCATAACGTGACTGAGTGTTGCTCCCATGATTATTTAGTGACTAAAGTGCCATTTCCAGGCCTACTCCATACAGACTGTAATTTGTCAGGATTTCCACACTTAATGTCGTATGGGAAGCCAAAAATTTGGGCTTTTCTGATGAGAGATGCTTAGTTAATTGCTTTTACATTTTAGTAGGTGTCAGCTTCCCTAATGAAACATAGTATATGTGCCCAATTATGGGCAATTACCACTTGGGAATGGTTGAGACTATTTCTTTAAGAACACATCTTCTTAAGGAAATTAATCAAGAGCTCCATGTGGTATATAGGAGAGAGGATGGGATTTGTGTGAGACAGGTCTGGGTTTGAATCCCATCTCTAACTAACCACAGTACAGAGGACACATCCCTTCACTGAGCCTCAATTTATTCAGTTAATAATGAGAATAATATCCACCCTTTCCTGGGGTCTTGGGAAGACTAAAGGAAATGAAATTATTTTTATTAAAATCAGTTGACATTCAAAAAGTAAACTCATCAAGATGAGCCCATTGGGTCACATTCTGTAGGTAAGATAAGACTGTCTTGGATAACAGATGCCATGATCTTAAGAGATGGACCATCATACCTTTCTGGATATATTTGCACTGCAAAAATTATTAACACTGTGGATTCATTAGAAGCCAAATTAAGCTGCTTTCCCATGCCATGCCACTGTCACACAGGATGCATGCTCTGGGCAGATTTCACGCATTTTTGTCTTTGGGTTGGCAGAACTGTCAAATGCCACTTTTGAAAAATGAGGCTATCTACAGATGCTTGCATAACACAGTTAAGCAGAGAAACAAAAATAAAAATATCCCTTGGTCATTTACTGTGGGCTGGATAGCTTCTGTTCATGCTCTCAAATGCACTCTCCACCCTGCTCCCACTGCCCTGGGCCCAGAGAAACACATCTGTACAACTCCATCCTGGCCTCCTTGCCTTCTGGTTTATGGCTGAGCTCTGTTAATAGGGATCGGCGGCAGAGATTGGGAGCTGAGAGTGAGTGAGTTAGGGGTATTTAAACCTTTTTCAAGTTATGCAGACATAGAATATGACAGTATTTATGTGGGTTACTAGAGTAAATGCATAGCAACCCATAGCTAA